TTGGTTAATAGACTCAAATGTTCCATTCTTGATTAAGTTATTTTGAGTTTTGACATCAAAACAGGCGTGGTAAGTGGTGGGTGCGGCTAGTTATATAGGTAGGCGTGGCAAATTATTATTTCATTGATACATGGAGTCAGATGCTTCTAGGAGTCGGATATCTCTTGGAGTCGGATATTTCACATGATCCGGGTATTTTTTAGTTTTTAGTCAATTTTAAAATGGTCGTAACTTGAAAAATTAAAGTCGGAATCACCTCAAACTTTCTACACTGCATAAGGGCATCAATATGTATCAGAAAATGTAATAAAAATTTGGGGTGATTTCGGAGCCATTTTTTAGAAAAAACCATGGGCTATAGTACAGGGTATTTTCAGTTTTTAGTCAATTTTTAAAATGGTTGTAACTTGAAAAATTGAAGTCGGATTCACCTCAAACTTTCTACACAGCACAAGGACATCAATATATATTAGAAAATGTAATAAAAATTTGGGGTGATTTTGGAGCCATTTTTTGGAAAAAACCATGGGCTATAGTACAGAGTATTTTTCAGTTTTTAGTCAATTTTTAAAATGGTCGTAACTTGAAAAATTAGTGATGTCGGAATTAGCTCAAACTTTCTACACAGCATAAGGACATCAATATGTATCATAAAATGTAATAATTTGGGGTGATTTCAGAGCCATTTTCTGAAAAAACCCAAAGCAAAGGCTATGGCATATGCTTTTTTCTGAAAATTTACTACTTTTTAAAATGGCTGTCACTCAAAAAATTTTTGTTGGAATCAGCTTAACTTTCGACTTTGTTTTTTATGAAAATGTGTCCTTAATCATTTCTTATTAATTATTAAACATGCACATGTAGGTTGTGGCCTATCATGTGATGATGATGATGATGATGATGATGATGATGGTGTAGCTACTAGCCTACTACTAATATGAAATATGTCTCACCAGTGAAGAGAGATACAGAGCTGAGACTAGTGGACATTAAACTAAATGAAGGAGTTGAAACAATTCAAATGAGTGTCATTAAAGTGACGGTTGAATGTAGCAGGTGTAAGTGCAGGACTGACCTCCTCTGCAAAGAAAACAAGTAAATAAATAAATAAATTAATTAATTAATAAATAAGTAAATAATAATAATAATAATACTTAACTTTTTTATTTTAGGGTTGCATCTCAAGTATGTTCAAAGTGTAGCCATTGGATATCAGTTCAGTATAATCCTGATCTGCTTCATTCATCTAATCCCACACTAGCTTATCTTGACCTTTTAAAGTAAGAACATAATACAACAGATTACACAGTCATTTATCCTCTCTCACTTTTATACCCTCTCTCCTTTCCTCCTTCCGGCCTTCTCTCTTTTCTATATCTCTTCTTCCCTTCTCCTCTCTCTCTCTCTCTCCCTCTCCATCTTCTCTCAGTTGTAAAGTGACTGATCTAATATTGTTATGCTATGAAGGTGTCTCATATCTTGTGTCGAGTGTGGGCGTGATCATCCATTAAAGAGGTGGAGCTTTGGCTCTCCTCTCACCACCTGGTGTCGGTATTGTCACACGTCACTTGTCCTGGGGGCATCTCAGTGTAAATTCATCATCCACCAACCAGGAGAAGGTTAGATTTGAGAATAATTATAATTATGCATACAATTAAATATATTATTTATTTTTCTTTTACTGATAGGTGTATTCAATGAGGCTATTGAAGGACAGAGAGTGAGTGCTAAAAAGAAGAGAGTGCCTGATTTCATTGACCATTACCTAACACTGGGACTTGCCTACACTATAAGAAAAGCCATCGCTGGCTCAGGTAACACCGATATTGATATTAACACTGATATTGATCTTAATACTGATCCTGATCTTAAATCAAGTATGTTATTGATTTTGTGATCATGATACATGTAGGTTTCCATGTTGTGGTAAAGCCTTTCCTTGTGATGTGTGTCATGATTCAACTGAAGGCCATCCAATGGAAAGAGCTAACAGAATGATATGTGGATACTGCTCCAAAGAACAAGTACATTATACACATTCATAGATTATGATATAAACTGATTTCTTCTACTTGTATTATTATTATTATTATTCTGTTATTATTTTATTTGTAGGTTTATAATGGCAGTAATCCTTGTGTGTCTTGTGGTTCTGATATGACACAAAGTAAGAGTTCATCACATTGGGAAGGAGGTCAAGGCTGCCGTAACAAAGTGAAGATGAGCAGGTACTAATGATACGAGTAATACCGTAAATCTTCTAAAAATTTGGCAAATTAAATTCACCTTAAATTCAGTATTATTGAAAAATTAGAGGTTAAAAATGTTTTTTTACTTTTAAATAATTTTTATTGACTAAATTGAAGGGAGGGTCATTCCAAAGTCTCAGCTGCTTGGTAAGAGGATTATGTTGAAATTAGAATACTCAGCCAGTAATTTTGCATAATTGAATAATTAGCGATAATTTTGTGAG